CATCAATTCTTCTACAGTCTTCCTTATTCACTGTCTAGCTTTCACATGCATATGAGGTTATTGAAAATACCATGGCTTGGGTCAGGAGCACCTTAGTCCTCAAGCTGACATCTTTGCTCTTTAACACTTTAGAACACAGTAAAAATAATTGTTCTGTGACTCCAATTGTTTTAGATATTTTCATTGACTATGGAAGAATATTATGGTTGCAGGTCCCTGCTTTGAGCAGTAGAAATACTACCTTAGTAGAGAATGCTTGGAGATTCCTGGTATGACTTCACTGCAGGAATGGTCAGATTACAGACTCCTCACTATGATAAGCAGTGTTTTTTGCTTGATGATTTCTACTTGCACTGCTCTGCTTGCACAGCATCAGGGCATCCATCCATATCATTGAAATGTTATCTCTATTGATTAAGGATGATAAAATAAGACATTTGAAAAAAATAAATGAAAAGCAGCTTTGTTGTTGTTAAGTATCATGGAGTGGGTTCTAACTCATAACGACCCTGTATAGGGTTTCCAAAGAGCAGCTACTGAGCTTGAACCACCGCCTTTGTGGTTCAAACTGACCTTGCAGTCCATCATATTAACCCACAGCACCACACCAGGACTTGTAAACTATGATTTCTGTAGATCATTTTCTTTTTGTGAACTTTTTATGGATGCTTCTTTTCATTGTTTTGAATAACAGTCATTTAACTTTTTAAACTATACAAATGGCACAAATTTATCACAAAATATCAAGTCATAAAGGCATATGCTAAGTTTATCACATGACAGTAGATCAAATTTCACAGAAGTAACTACTTCTGATTTGATATTAGTCATTCAGTTATATTTTCAAGTGCATGCCTAAGAAAATACATATACAAAAAACTGAGATTTCTTTTTCTTAAATGTAATGGCATCATTATCTATTTTTGTGTTGAAGTCTTCTTTTTTTGGTAAATAATGAATCATTGGTATCTTTCCCTGTGAATACACATATCTGATCTCAAGCTTTCTAAAAGAATATAGACTGTCATATTGTAATTGTTTTATGTAAGTTACTTGTGTATTTTTCTACTGAAAAGTATTATCCTGTCTAGTTTTTCACAGTTGTAACCCATACTGCTAAGAAGAACTCAAACAAATTTCTTTGTTCCCATAAAGAATATTTCTGTAGGATATATTTAAATGAGAAAAATTATTAGAATGAAGGTATTTTATATTGAGACCATTTATTCAACTAACATTGCCATATTTTTAATGAAAATAATGTGTATATTACATGGGTTGGGATGGGGCAAACTATGCATATGTGTGCTGTGTGTATGTTTGGTATTTACGTAGGCACATTATTTTTAAAATAATATGCTATTTAGCTGTTTTTGGATAAGTTCTGTTATCAGTTTTCTCAAAAGAATGGGTTATAAGAGCCTGTTGTTGTTGTTATGTGCTGTGGAGTCGGTTCCGACTCATAGCGACCCTGTACAGGGTTTCTGAGGCTGTAAATCTTAACGGGAGCAGAAAGCCTCATCTTTCTCTTGCGGAGCAGCTGGTAGTTTTGAACTGCTGACCTTGCAGTTTGCAGCCCGATTCGTAACCGCTATGCTACCAGAGCTTCTGTAAAAACACATTAAGTCTCACTTTAGTGCTGATTTATCAGGAATATCTTGCTAATTATCTTTTATAATAAAAAAAAGAGCTCAGTGTAGCTTAAAGGAATAACTTTAATTTTTTCCACCTTATTATTATACTCATGTCCTATTTCTGTTAAGTTACACTGGCACTGTGGGTTAATACGCCAGACTGCAGAGCCATCTGAACTGTAAGGTCGGCGGTTCAAGCTCACCAGATGCTCCTCAGAAACCCTATACAGGATCGCTATAGGTCGGAACCAACTTGACAGCACTTAACAACAAGAACAACAACACTGCTTTTCTATTCTAATTATGAAGTAATTTTTCTAAAATAAATTTAACAGAAATTTAATGGAAAGAATTAATAACTAGATATAAAGTTGTTAACTTGGAATTGTGAAGGCAAAAAAGATGGTACAGGCAGAAAGAGGCCCATTCAATTAGAAAAAAAAAAATGTTGAAAACAAGATGTGGTTGAATGAAATTAATACTGAATATGAGAAAAATATTTCAGAATCATCTATTTGGGAAGTAGAGTTTATGTGTACCCTGTATATTCAGAGTTGCTTCTTTTTGAGCATGTGTAGAAATAACTATTTAAATTAAGTGTTGTTATGATATAGAACATGTTATTAGAACTCCAAAGGGATTCCATCTATTTGCCCAGGGATAGGTCTTAGTTACTTAGTGCTACCATATCAAGGGAGTTCTGGTATGGCACTGTATGATGATGCACTGGACTACAAGGTTGGTTTGAACCACAACGTCAGCCATTCAAACTTACCAGTCGCTTTTCAGAAACCCTAGATAGTTGAACTGACTTGACAGAATTTAACAACAATAAAAACCATATAAAAAATAGCATAGATTTGTGGCTTTAAGTAACAGAATTTTATTTCCCACAGTTTTGGAGACTAGAATTACAAAGCAAGGCTTCAGTATTACTGTGCTTTCTCTCCCTGTAGGCTGTAGGATAAGAGTCTTATCTCTCTCAGCCTGGATGTTTCTTGGCATCCATTTGATTGTAGATGTATCATCATATGGTATCTTATACCAAGTATGAAGGGACTTCAGAAAGTTTGTGGAAAAATTGTATAAAAATATAAAACTTAAAAATATAAACTTTATTTCCAACATGTTGTTGTTTTAAGTGTCATGGAATTGGTTCTGATTCATCGTGACCCTGTATAGGGTTTCTAAGGAGTGGCTGGTGAGCTTGAACCAGTGACCTTGAGGTCCAAACTGACTTTTCAGTCCAGCACATTAACCCGCAGAGCCACACCATAATGATACTAGACATTTAGTCCATCCCTAATGCTCTTCAGAAACCCTATACAGGGTCACTATAGGTCAGAACCTACTCAACGGCACTTAACAACAACAACAAAGAACTGAGGGTCCTGGCAATTTAACAATGCAGTCTTTTTTACATGATTAATGGCCACCCTTTAAAAAAAAAAAAATGTAAGATTAGGAAACCAAAAGAAACCAGTAGGAGCCGAATCAGAACTGTAAGGTTAGTTTTTAAAAATTGGTGTGAATTATTTGATGCTGTAGGTTTCTTCTTGACCATCATCGCATCTCTTATTAAAATGACTTAATCATGTATAAACTGCTGATTTCTTTGGGACATTGTCCCCAGAAACTTTTCATAAAGCATCTGTGATTTTACAGTTCTTCCCCCAAATGTTTGTTCTTGCTTCAGTTTCATGAGAACTCATATTCTTCTGATAGGGGCTCCTTTCAAATTGATGTTTTATAACTTTTTAGTGCCTTCAACTAGATAACAAGTTAGTACTAATTTATTTTGGTCCCCCCCCCAAAAAAAAAAAAATTGAAATCCATACATAGTCTTTTCATAATGTTCATTTCTCTTGAACTTTTTGATACCACTCAGAAGCAATTAAGGTTAGGATCCATCCTATTCCCATGTGGATTCATTTAAGGAAACAAAAGATAAATCCTATTTCTAAAGATGGCTACATTTACAGGCATGGGTTTTAGGACTTCAAAAATCTTATGAGACAATTCAATCCATATCAGGAAATGTGTGAAGGCTTTACAGATTTCGTAAACTGAGAGTTATATGAATAAAAAGTATAATCAACAAGATTAACACAAAAACAAAATAAACAAAGAACAAACAACAAAACTGGCTTTCTGAGGCAAAGGAACTTTGTTCTCTGATTTCTAAAAGGTAACTTGGCTTAAAGAAAAAGGAAGAAAAAAAGCAACAACGTTTTTGTTTTTTTTTTCCCTTTTAACATTTATGGCAAGTAATACTGCCACTTTCCAGCTCTTTGTGAGGCAAGCGCTAAGCTGTCTAACTCTGGAGAACTTTTATCAAGCAGTTGTTTTCAATTCATCAGTCAGCTCCCTAGCTCACAAATCAGAGCTCCATAGTTGGAGGAAGATGAAGGTGTATGCATGCAACCACTCTAACCTTGTTGTTGTTGTTGTTAGGTGCCATTGAGTCAGCACCGACTCATAGTGACCCTGTGCACAACAGAATGAAACACTGCCCAGTCCTGGGCCAACCTCACAATAGTTTCCACGCTTGAGTCCATTGATGCTGCCACTTTGCCAGTCCATCTCGCTGGGGGTCTTCCTCTCCTTCTCTGACCATCCACCCTACCAAACATGATATACTTCTCCAGTGACTGGTCCCTCCTGACAATATGTCTGAAGTATGAGAGATGAAGTTTGGCCATCCTGGCCTCCAAGGAGCACTCTGGCTGCACTTTTTCCAACACAGATCTATTTGTTGCTTTGGCAGCCCATGGCACTTTCAATATTCTCCTCCAACACCATAACACAGATGCATCAATTCCTCTACTCTAACCTAGTGTTGTCAAATTACCTCCTTCAACTTTAGAAATTGAGTATGGGTAGAGTAAAAATCTGTGCAGATAACAACAGTGATATGGGTTTGTTAAAATAATTTCTAGAAGTTACCTTTTGAATATTCTGAAATTTATTTAGGAAATATTTAAACTGTCTTTAAAATTTAGAAACCCTTCAAACTACCTTACTACTTCAAAACTAAATCCTAAATTATTCAGCAGTTGACTTCTACATTTGTGTGTTAATTTAGGTGTGTGCTATCACTTAATCCTTACAGTAATTTGATACAGTAAGAACAATTCTTTATTAAAGGGTTTAGAAACTACCCTTAAAACATTTAGTGATTTGTCTAAAATTTTATGGTTAGAGAAGAACAGAGCTAAACTTAGAATGCTGGCCTGGCTGATTCCAAAACCAGAACTCTTGGGACTATACCATTCTTCTAGACTCTGATTGTAATTTTACCCTTTTTCACAGGAAATATTATGGAGAAAAAATTGGCATCTATTTTGTCTTTCTTGGATTTTATACAGAAATGCTGTCCTATGCAGCTGTAGTTGGCTTAGCTTGTTTTATTTACGGCTTATTTTCAATGGAAGATAACTCAAGCAGGTAAGTGTAACTGAGTTACCTAAATACAGAAAATGTCTCAATTTTATGAGACATTTTAACTCAATTTCAATTAAAATGATTATCAAATATTATGGAGTCCTGGTACGATTCTGTTGGATAAGCACTGAACTGCTTATGCAAAGTCAGTGGTTCAAGTCCACCAGTCACTCCTCAGAAACCCTACACAGGTTCACTGTGAGTGGGAACAGCTCAGCAACACTTAACATATATCTGATGAAGGGTTTAAAACCCAGAGGATATTAAGAACTTCTGCATTAAACTATTATTATTTCCTTGGTATTTCAGAATGCTTTCTTATAGCCGTACATAACTGATACTTCTCTGGCTCTGTATTGTTTAGTATGAACAAGGTCCAAATATAGCAGTTGCTCTTCCCTGGCACTTTGTGGGAAATCTATTCTGAAGTCAGTTCTAGTGATGCTGTTCTTCGAAGAGTGACTAGAACTACCACACTATTGCTTCCTCATTTCCCATTTTCCCATAAGTCAGAAGCTGTATCAATAGCTATCCTGATAAGAACAACTTGGGACTTCAACCCAAACAGAAATCCCTTTTGAAATAACACTTCTGTTCCCTTGCAGCAAGGAAATCTGTGACCCTGAAATTGGAGGTCAGATCCTCATGTGCCCGCTCTGTGACCAATTGTGCGACTACTGGAGATTAAATACTACGTGTTTGGCCTCAAAGGTATGTATGCATTGTGGATTTGGGATTTTCCTCTGCTTGTATTGCATCTTGTACTAAGTGCTCTTGTGATGTTGTTGCTTTTACAGTTCTCCCATTTATTTGATAACGAGTCAACAGTATTCTTTGCAATATTCATGGGAATTTGGGGTGAGTACATAGTCTCATGACAACCAACTTGTTCATATTATATATTATATGATCCCTATATTATATATTGATGGCATCTCTTATATACCAAAGGTGGTTTTACGTCACTGTGCCTTTGCTAGCACCAAGATATTGATGGAGTATACCCTAAGCTTTGGTCCACAAAATTTTTTCTTAAAATATCAACTCATTTTTTAAGATTATATATTTTCTGAATCTTAAAATGCATTTAGCACACACAGTCTCCAAGTGCCATGGTAAAAACAGGTTTAATAAGTGATTAATTCAGGAAAGATAATCATAAATATTTGATTGCTAGAGGGTGTTGAGTTAGGGTTAAAACTGAGACAAAGAAACTGCTAAGAGTTAATAGATCTACTTTTAGGTTTATATTGCCCGTGTCTATTTCATGTTCTTGATTTCAGTTACATTTTAAAAAAACCTTTCATATGAAAGTGGAGGTCCCCTTCACTTTGAAAATGCCCCAGTACATCACCTTTTTCATGTCAGATGGGAAGTAGAAGAGTCATAAAGTTTTCCTTATCCAAATGAGGAAAATTTTTCTATAAGAGTAACTCAGTAAGGTTGTGTGTTCGCGGGCAGGAGGCTAGCTTATAGAAGGTTCCTTTCAGACATTTAAATGAATATATATGTGCACATTAAATGTTTTGCTTTGTTCAAGATGTGAAAGGGAAGCCACAGGGAAGAATTAGGATAACTGTCATTGCAGGAAGGAGATTGTAATTATTGAGATGAAACAAAGCGTGTAATTTATTGAGTATAAAGCTGGTGATCCTGTCTGTAAACCTTCACTCAATAAAAAGTTTAAAAAAAAAAGAATAATTCAGCAAGAGGAGATCTATGTCATGTTGTTAAGTGCTGTTGAGTCGATACCAACTCACAGTGACTCTGTATAGGGTTTCCGAGTTGTGGCTAGTGAGTTTGAAGCGCTAGCCTTGCAGTCCAATGCTTATGTTACAGTGCCATACCAGGGCTAGTCTAAAATGTGTCCCAAACTCAACAGAGAATTTTTTTTCTGCTTTAAACAAATCTTTGGGATGACTGAGTCTCCACATGTGAAAGAATGAAGCTGGACTCATACCTCACACAATATATGAAGATTAACTCAAAATGCATCAGTGATCTAAATGTAAGAACTAAAACAATAAAATTATTAGAACAAAAATATAGGGATAATGATGAGGACCTAGGTGTTTACAGTGGAGTTGTAGATAGAACACCAAAAGAATGAACAAGGAAAGAAACAAAAATAAATCAATCTTCATCAAAATATTAAACTTTTGTGCATTAGAAGACTTTATTAAGAAAGTAAAGTGAATATGCAGACAGGGGAAAATATTTGACAGCTGTATATATAATAAGGGCTTATATTTCAGAATATATTAACAACTTCTACAATTCAACAATAACAAAGACAAATAATACAATTTAAAAATGGATCAATGCCCTGACCACCATGTAAATCAACTGTCTAGGGATATTAGTCTCGCTCACACGATCCAAGAGTAAATAGATAAAGGTTTACAATATGGACTTAATGCTTTAGAGAAAGGAAGATTGCTTAAGGGAAATAAGATTCAATATAACCAGTTTATACTCTCAGCTAAGGTTATTCACTGTATAAGTAGATTTGTGTTATTTTTTCAGTAAACCAGAACTTGATTGGAACTTAATTCAACAGCATTGGAGGTTGTGGAACAATATGCACTTGTCTGGGGATATTCATCAGCTACATGCTCAAATTTCTGATACAAGTAATTCTCAAGTTGAGAACTGAGGGGCTACTAATTTGCTACCTCTGCTAGAGATTAAGTTCCCCTGTGAACTTGGTTGAACCTCAGCATAGTGATCCTGCTTGGTCGCCTTAGAGCAGGTGGTGGTCTGGCAACATCTTGCGTGTGGGGTCCCCAGCCGGTCTCCTTCCTCCCTGCCTTCTTCGGATGGCGGCTGTTTATGCTGGACATGTGCCCAGAGACGGGTAAGGATCACATGGAACCTCGGCAACCTAAGACATTACCATGCTGCAATGAGTTTCGATGACAGGTAAGATGGGGGATTTCGCACTGACCGCCTAATTCAGACAGCGTCCCGTAAACAAATAATAAATAAGGGGGAATCTGGTGCAGACCGTACAGACTCTGTCAGGAGTCTGAGGTCCTGTGGGCCCAAA